TGTGAAAGTAACTGTGCTAAATTTATTGCAGTATGATGGAAATGTAACTACTGAAAACTGATCTTCAGCTAATGATAATGAATGTGTTAATAAATGTTGCTACTTTTAAAGGAAAAATTTAAAAGTGAGGCTAGTCTTTGTTCTTCAATGTACATGACTAATCCCACTAAATTTGACTCAGTAGTAGCTCTCTAGTTCATTGCCCTTTTTTTAATAATAGATATTGAGGAAGTCAGAAAACACTGCTGTTACTTGAAAGAGCATTGCTAAAGGCCTGAAAGTCCTCCTAGGCTGTTGTGATGTAGGTGGGGATGGCAGGTTGGAGATGTTGCTGAAGGAGTAACAAAACCTGTTGAACCATCTGTCATTAGGGATTTCTCCTGGCATATAGGTATTTTTCTGAACTAAGAAGTATTCTGAAGTGCAGAACTTGTTTAAATTTTGTCTCCTGGTAGCCATAATTCCCTTTGTTGCCTTCTCCCAAACACCTCTGATCTTGACCTCTTTTCCCAGAGTTCAGCCTCTTCCTTCCACCAGTCCACTGGAACCCTTCATTCTGTGCTTCTGTTTTTACCTCCCTTCACTTTATCTGAACTTTTTGTGAGGCACACAGGTAGCTGAGGCCAGATGGTCATGGAATAATGCAATTTAGCTAATTGCCTCCATCCAAGAGAAAAAAAACCGCTATCCATCCTGTCTGGAATGTCATTGCCCCATAGCAGGAATTCTTGGAAAAGAAGAAAAATTTCCTAGAATTCCTAAACGGCTGATCTATTTAGCTCAAACTTTTAAATCCCTGGTGACTCTATTGCTAGTCTTCAACAATGGTCCTTAATAAGATGGAGAAAAAATAGGAAGTCTAATTTCTCTTTTAATGCTCTTTGTAGAAGAGTTCTGATGTAGAAAATCAATACTTCTATTCAAAGGAAAGCTATTGAAACAAATAATATTACTGGTTGGCAGGCTCAGCAGGCTTTTTGCTTTGATTACATTCTTGCTGACAGTACTGCACTGGTGTTTAGAAAATCCAAAAAACAACTTCTAAGTGCTTTTGCTATGAAACAATTTCAGCAATTTAGTGTTAGGGATGGAATTGAAATAAACTTCAAGAGCAAAGAAAAATACATTCTTATTTGTGCTAAAAAATATTTGTATTAATGAGCGCATAGATTCTATATGTCAACTCAAGGACAGCTTCAGTCCCACAAAACTCTTGTTTTGATTGTTCATGTTTGGAATTTCTTTTAATGTTTGTACTTCACTGAATTCTTAAGATAAAAATATAGTACTTGGAATTTTTTAAAGTTACCTTTTCGCCCATACTTAATCAAAGGCATTTTCCTTGTTATATCTGGAACACAGATTACTCAACGGTCTTTCTTTGTCTGTGCCAGCTCATATAATTCACATTTTTATTACCCTGATCAATTGAAACATTTTATTAAAGGTCAAAAGAAAAGAAAAATTGTAAAATTAGAAATGGAAATGGATTTGATTAATGATTGAAAGGAAATATGGAAGCAAATGATCCAATTTATTACCTTTTTCTATTTGATAAGTATCTTTGTCTTTGATTCTAGTTCTGTGCTTTACTCCACCTGCTTTGACTATACAACTGTCTGTTCCTTTTCTCCCCAGCCATGTAAAATCATAGGAGAAACCTGCATCAAGTTGTGAATGGGTAAAATGGATGGTAACAGCAGCATACATCATCGTATTAAACTTGGGCAAGTAGACTCTGTGTGGAAGGGATTTTCCCCTGAGACTTAATGTGTGGTGCTCAGCATTTATTCCTCCTGAAGGCCTACTCTGGAAGTCGGCTCCGTGTCTGCACAGTGCTAAGAGCAGCAGTCACGGTGGCTGGGAGTGCAGTTTGAGATCTTTAAAGCACTTTGTGACATTGGTGGTGGCCTTGCCTGCAGATTGTGGGTGCTGGAGCCAGCCAGACCTGCTGGAACAGCCACCACCTCCCAGTGCCCTGCTGGAGCAGCCACCACCTCCCAGTGCTCTGCTTTCCTCTCAGAGACCGGTTGAGTCTAAGTCTCAACTCAACTCAGTGGTTGTGTGAGAAGGGAGGCAGACTATGATAGGTCAAAGGATCAGCTGTGATTATTTGGAGGGACGAGAGTCTAAGTTTGGGAGAAGCTGTTGACTCCCTCAAGGGCAGAGAGACCCTGCAGAGAGACCTCAAACAACTTAGAGAGACAGAAAATCACCAACTGTATGAAGTTTAGCATGGGCAGGTGCTGGATTCTGCACCTGAGATGGGGTGGCCCTGGTTGTATTTGTAGATTGGGAAATGAGAGGCTGCAGAGCAGTGCTGTAGAAAGGGACCTGGGGGTCCTGGTCCATGGCAAGCTGGATATGAGTCAGCAGTGCCCTGGCATCTGGGAGGGCCAGCCATGGCCTGGGGGCATCAGGCACAGCATCACCAGCTGGGCAAGGGAGGGGATTGTCCTGCTCTGCTCTGAGCTGGGGTGGCCTCACCTCAAGTCCTGAGGCAGTTTTGAGCCCCTCAATATAAAAAAGACATTAGGCCATCAGAGAACATCCAAAGGAGGCCACGAGGAAGGTGAAGGGCCTTGAGGGGAAGCCGTGTGAGGAGCGGCTGAGGGCACTTGGTTTGCTCAGCCTGGAGAGGAGACTGAGGGGAGACCTCATTGTGGTCTTCAACATCCTCACGATGGGAAGAGGAGGGGCAGGTACTGATCTCTTCACTCTCTTGGCCAGGGACAGGACTCAAGGAAATGGCCTGAAGCTGAGTTGGGAGGCTCAGGCTGGATATCAAGAAAAGGTTCTTCACCCAGAGTGGGACTGGCACTGAACAGGCTCCTCAGCTAAGTGGTCACAGCACCAAGCCTCTGTGAGCTCAAGAAGTGTATGGACAACACTCTCAGGCACAGAGTGAGATTCTTGGGGTGTGCTTTGCAGAGCCAGGAGTTGGCCTTGATGATCTTGATGGGTCCCTTCTAATTCACTGTATCCTATGATTCTCTCTGAGAGCAAGAAGTTATTCAAATTATTTATATGATATTATGTAGCATCCATGGCAGCTGAAGAGGTTGTATACTTTCTAGATCAGCTTATCTACTAACATGTGCTTCATATTGTATCATCCTGGTCTCTTTCAAACAAAACCTTTTCTTTTTTTTTCCCCAGAAGACAGAGTGTGTGTTTTTTTAGTTACAGCTCATTTCCCAGCCCCCAAAGGACTCTCCCATATACAGTGAATGAGGCAAGAGACCTGTTAAAATATCTTTGCAGTCCGTTTTGTACATGTTGCATCATTCCACACAAGGGAGTGATGGAATTGTATGGTCAGCCCTAGTTTGATACGTCTCAGGTTTGAAATTCTGGATTTTTGATAACTCCATTGTAAGAGATTGTACTGTTGGAACACAAGGCAGGTTCTTTGTGTGCAATTACACAATACTCCAAATAGGTTAACATGCAGTGTTTGAGAAGATTGATGGATTCTAAATATATCAGCAGGGAATTATTGAGGGTGTCTCAAGGGGTTATTTTAGAGACAAACAAGACAGCTATTTTGAGCAGCAGTCATGTAATTCTTTTACATGGACAACTCTTCAAGAGATGTCTGATTCACTGATAATTAAAATTATAAATGAGTCTTGTTTGGCCTGAGTGATTATGTTCATGCTCCAGTGACCATGGCCTCTAAGTACTAAGGCATATAATTAGACCCTTCTTTGACCTTTCAATATCATGTTGACCATATCTAGGCACTAACAGATCCATAGCCCAGATAGTTGTTTAGGGCCAGATGGTGTTTTCATGCAAAATTAGTGCAAGAGTTTGCTTCAAAGCTCCTTGCTCCATGCACAGCAGAAGAATAGATGATTGAAACAGGGGCTCTGGTGTGGTATAATAAAGTGTAACTGAACTTACTGAGGGTGGGTGCCTCATGTGTATCATTCTCTTTCCTGTCCAGCATGCTCCAAGTCATTCTAGGTTCTTTAACTTGTAATTTTTGTAACATTTTCCTCTCAGTTCAGCAGCAATATGAAGGTTTTAATCTGACTGTAGGAATAATGAATATATTTTACCGGTAACAAACTTAAATGTTTTTAGCTAAGTAAGACTTAGCTAAAAACAATATGAAAAGATAGATAATTAGCATGAAACATCTATGTACTTCATACATCCACAGTGTCTTGGTTTGAAAAGACAGGTGTCTGCTAAGGAAGGTAGAAACCTCCCTTGACATGGAAAAAATGTAAACCACCCCACCCTCCAAATTATTATAATCTTGAAATCCAGGGGCTCTCAGGCAAAGATATGGGAATAGGAATAACAGTTCTTCACTAGGAAAATGAAAATAAAAATGCAGGAGTACAAAACAAACAAACAAACAAAACCAAAAAAAGACAACCCACTGACAGAGTCAGAACACAACCTGACACCCTGTTGGTCAACAATTAAATGGTGGCTGCAATCTTCCTGGAGTGACAGATGTGGTTCTCTTGAAGCAATGATCCTGTAGAAGGATGAGTTTTCCTCTGAAGTTCCAGTGGTGTCGATGGGTCTGGTCTTTCCTCTGGGAATCCAGTGGAGAATGGCTGCTGTGGTGTTCCAAGTCTCCAATTTTATCCAGCTAGGAATGTTTGGCTCCTCCCCTGGGTGGAGCATCTCCCAATGGGATGATGTAATTTTATCAGTCCTGCAGTGAGGCTCAGTGGCCCATGAACAGAAGATATCCCTTGGAGGGAGGATGGGTTGTGGGGGAGATAAAGAACACTGCCCCAGCTGGTTTCAACAGATGGTAATGGAATGCATTTGGTTATGTCTTGCATTGCATCCCAAGACACACAGAAAACATTCCCTTCCCAAACTGCAAGAAGAACAGAAGTTTTTAATTCAAATGCAATTGTATAGTGTGGGAGACTTTCATATATAAAATCTAATTGTTAATTAATTTTCCTGAATTTTAGTTTGGTTGTTTCCACTTTAAGTGTTTTAAATTTTGATGATTTTTCTAGGATAAAGGGTCATGCTAAGGAAGATGACAAAAGACAGATAACAACAAGTCTGTCAGAAACTGATGAGAATTTCATCAAGACTGAAGAAGTCAGTCAAGATAAACATTCCCTTGAAATATCCCGATGAACCTGGACTTTCAGAAAGTAGTAAATGTTCAGTGTATGAACACAGCATTTCTTTCAGGTACCCATGAATACAAATACTCATTATGTGAATTATAATAATTATGCAAATTATATAATCATTATGGAAATAAAATGAATAAATAGAATCTAGGGAAAAGTACCTATCAGTTCCATATTTTGACTGCAGCTGTTACTTAACCTTGCCTACTTAGTAATTCATCAAGAAATAATTAAACAATCGCTAATATTCCATGCAGTCTTTAAATCTGTGCTCAGGAAGGCATGAGACACACAAGTTCTATACATTCATTGATTTCATGCTAACAAGTTGACAAGATACTGGACTAAACTGTATCCTAGGGTAGCTTTAGTATTGCTTTACAGAGAATTGATATTGCCTGGGTTTTTTCCAAAGTCATCTGTGAGAATTTCTCTGCATTTTCCCTTTAATGCACTCGGGCACACTGGAAATGAAGTCCAGCAGTAACATTTTCTGGCAGTGCCTCCATTTTCCACATGTTCATTTAAATGATTTACATCATCTTCTACCCTGAGCCCAGACAAAGTCTGCATTCTGTACCTACTGCTGCAGGTAATAGGCCCAAGATGTATTTGGAAGCCCAGAGGAGAAATTATTGAATTTACATACTTTGTGTATGAGGAATGCAAAAGTAATATAAAATAATTAACTGATGTCAACAATATAAAGGAGTAAAATACTTTTCTATTGTTGATTTTAAACTAGTCTTTTGGTAAACATCTTTACTTCTGAAGTTTCTGACTTTCAACTGTGAAAGAAATTGATGCAGATTTTTTGTTTGGTTTTTGTTTTTTGTTTTTCTAGTAGGTTTAAACTGGGCTGCTGCGTATGATGTTACATAGTGGCAAATTAAGGATTTTCTCTGTTCTTTTTTGTTGGTTTTACATACAAGTGGAAGAAAGCCACTAGCTTAATAGGTTTGTAATAGCTTTGTGTGGTTATAAAACAGATGAAGATTTGAGGTCTGTGTTAAGTGTCATTCAGTATTGTGGGGTGTAATTTCCTTCGTAAGTACTTATTATGAGGTCTGACTTACTCAAAGTGATGTGCCTGTTCATGGCATGGAATTTTTCATGAGTCCTGTTCCTCATGTGCTGAGATGATTATTCTGCCAGAAAAGTACTTGTAAGCTAAGGAAGTGCTGAAAAGGGCTGAATAAACTGTAGATCTTCATTTAAGGGGCTTTGGGTACTGGAAAGTCCGATGTGATTTTGAATCCTATTTTAATTACTAAGAAAGATTTTTCCCTGTTGTTGCTTAATGACACCCTTCATTCTAGACCAGTGACAGGTTGTGTTATCCACTGCTGAAATGGATTTAATGCTTGTGTTTAAGCCATGTTAGCAGCAAGAAAAGCAAGTTGGTAGGAGAGCAGCAGAGAGTTGACCTATATGTACCTGGATCATCTTCTTTTGGAGATCAGCTTTCCTAGGAAAGATGTGATGGGCAAAGGATACATGCACGGATGGATGGGGAAGGGCTTGCCCTTTTGAAAAGCAGCATGTGTTACCTGTGTGTGCCTGAGGAGCTGTGGCATTCTGGGAGCTGTGGCAGGCAGCAGAGTGTTAGAGAGCACTGAACCTCTGGCACTGAGCACCCAGGAGCTCAATCGGGGTTTGGGGTCTGACCCCATCCCTAACAGATGGATTTAATCCTCGTATGTTTCTGGTTCCCTTTCTGTCGCCTCTCGTGACTCCAGTCAGCTTGCCTGACTTTTACTTTGAAAGGGACAATTCCCATTTATTCTGCTGTTGCTCAGAGAAGAGATGTGATTCAACATTGTAGCCCAGGACATTTTCAAGCTGCTCTGAGAAACAGAAGATCCAACATAGGAGTCCATAAGAAACCTGAGTAGGACAACTTATAATATCTTCAGATTTATTTTTTTTTAACCAATGAAGAACCTGCTTTAAGTATCATGTAGTTTCTGTTATTCTGTTTCATCCAGTTGTACTGTCATTCAGTTTTTCCAAGTATGAATATTCCCTTTTTGTTACAAAAAGATTATAAAAAGATGCTACCCAAGTAGAAGTGCACACCTGCTGTGTTAAGGTCTTGCTGTCTTTGTGGTTACTTGGGAGAAACAGCCCCTCTACCAAAGGCAAGCATATCATGAGCATCTCCTTTCAATTTGTTGTATTTTAACTATTAAGTATGAAATCCCAATTTAAATATGAATAGATTTCTTTTTGCTGAAGTTAATTTTTTCTATTTGATTTGGGTCTTTGCTTATGTATTCTCATTTTCTAAGGCAGCTGCTTTGGCTTATGCAATACTAGATAATGCTGACTGAACCTCCTGTGTTTGTTTGCCGTATGCTTTTGTTTCATTCTGCAGCTCCAAATGATAGGTTGCTGTAAGTGTTCAATTTCCTGATGAGGCTTAAAAGAACTTTAGCTCTCCAATGCATCAGCACACGACTCCTGTTTTACCATGATAAGAAAGTATTTGCCTTTAGGGAAAAGGAAAATGATTGAATGCATGTGTTTTACATTACTTGAACCATGATCATTTTACTGAAACAGGCCAAGACATTAACAAGGGTTTGGCCACAAGGGAATTAAGAGTCAGTTGTGTATCTTATATCCTAGTCAGATGCACTTTATTTTAGCAAAATGAATTCAGAGAAGAAAATACCACTTTAGCATTTACATTGCGGTCAGAGGTAATGAAGAATGAGATGTGGTTATACCAAATTCAGTGTCATTATTCATATAGATTTGAATTTAAATCAAAGGCATATAAAATTTATATGTAAAACTCTTTTCTTTGAAATGTATATATTGTATTATAATTCCTGGGTAATTATTTTAGCCTCCATTTAGACTTTGTGCCATTTTCAGACCTTAGATCCACACTCCTTCAGTAGTTGTCTGGCCACACTTTTCCTTATTCTAAAATTTTGGGTTTTATCTCTGTGCTGTCCACTGGGCTGTGTCTGTTGCTTATCAGTCTTTGAGAATCCATGTGTCACTCTGCTCCCTGAAAGGCTGGGAAACTGCTTGGTTGGCAGTTCAGATATTAATCTAGATGTTGTGGCATGATCCTCTGTGCTGTATCAGAGAGACGGTCATCCATCCACTTCCTTTCAAACAGCAGCTGCAGTGATGTCCTCTTTCACAGCATGATGTGAGGGGCAGGCACTGGAGCATTTGCTGATACTTTATAAGAAGTGATTCTGTGAAAGGATGAGTATTGTTTGCAGCAGTACTTCACAACCAAGCTGCTCCCATAGACTAAGCCATGGCCATGAACAGGACATGGAAAATTCTGAAGTCTTTCTACCAAAAAGAGAATGGTCCAGTGCCTTATTGTTTAAAACAGTGTGATAAAAATTAATCTTCAGGAGATGCAATTCAGTCTTTTTCCTGGAGCTGGTAGGGCACTAGTGGTTTATCATGGAATCAGTTAGGTTGAAAAAGACTCTTAAGATCATTGAGTCCAATTATTAATCCAGCACTGCCAAGGCTGCTGTTAAGTGGAAATGGTTGTCTCGTTGTTCAGAGAATGGTCCTGCAGACTCTTGGAGGTACTGGGCTGCCCTGGGAGTCTCCATGCAGAACACAACCACGGCAGCTTGAGCCTGCTCTGCGTTCCTGGGCATCTCTCAGCCTAAGCCTTCGGCCAAGCTTCTTCATGGATGCTGGTGAGACACATGGAGATGCCTCATGTGTTTTAAATGTGTTTTAAAAGCTGAAATGCTTGCAGTCTGCATGTTTACATCCATTAACTGCATAGAGCAGAGCCTTTGGCTGTTTGTCAGCCTGTGCTGATACTTGCATCCCTAAATGGATCTGTTGGTAGCTTTCCTGTACATTTTGTGTAGTTCTAATGAGAGACCTCATCAGACCACAGGTCTTGGGATGTTTCCTCATACGTGCCCAGAGTTCCACACTTACCTAAAGAGAAACTGTTTAAAACTCCAGCCAGGCTTCCTGGTGGTAGATTTTGGGAGTTTCTAAGGCCTGTCATTTTCCCTGTGCTGTCAGGGGTTCCTGGCAGGGACACAGGAACTTTAGGCCTCATGGAACATGCGGCATTAACCTGTGAAATCAAGATTTTCACTGCAACATAAGCTGTCACCCAGGAAAACAGTGTACAATGCATTTGTGAAATGTATGAAAAGAAGTTCAGGAATTCAGTTAATTAACCACATCAGTTTCTTAACGTGATCAATTTTAATTAAACTGAATTTTAATAGAGATCTGTGTAGTCTGTAGAGAGCAATTGCTAATTCTACAAAGCATGTGCTGCTTTTCACTTCAGATTTGCTCCCATCTAATTAATATGGATAGGGCATTAAGCCTTTTTGGACTCTGGTGGTTTTCATTTCATGACTATTAATGATTTTAATGAACTAGACTAATTCAGTAGTTTTCATCCTAGTGTTTCAGAGCTTTGTTCATCACAAATTTCAGGTTTATAATTGGTTTCCAGGTCTTAACAGTGGTCATTGATCAGCTTCAGCAGTTTCTTTTACAGCCCACTAGGAACATAAGAAAAGGTTTTAACCCTTTGTTGCCACAAGGGCATGTCAAAACTGCCTCACTATGAGAGAAAGAAGATGGGATCTGGGAGTTCACTGAACATTTAGTGTCTGAATGCAAGTTGTGGAGAAATGTTAATATTTGAGATGTGAAATGAATCTGAACATATTATGTCACACACTTTACAAGACAGAGGACCCTATTTTGGACTGTTCCTCGTGGCAGATATTATACCAATACAGAACCATCTTAGAGCACATCTGTTCTAACCTATGTGATATATGTGTGGCTGTGAAAAGTGTGGAGACTGGCTGTTCATTCAAAACTTAATCAAAAGACCTTTTGAACTTTTTTTGTGCCTTATTTATTTAGCTCAGAAACTTGTCAGAGGTTCACCTCCCTGACTGGCACAAAGTGTCCTTTCAGTAAATGTCTTTTGTGTGCTGTGTATTATTACTAATAGCAAACACCTTCTTTCTGTAGCATTTAACTCTGCTGCTGACAGAAATTAAAATGCATTTATGTTACTTT